CGCGCACCGACTGCTGCACTCGCTTCTCCGATGCGATCGAATGGGCGAGCTATCCCGGCATGTCCAGCCCTGGCAGAAAACCCGCGGCTCGCGCGTGCCTGCGAGGGGACCTCGCAACCGACGAGAACCTCCGACCCGCTGCCCTTCCCGCCCATTACCGTCGCAATAGTGCGTCTTCCATGGCGCGCGCGTCTCCGCGCAGGGGAATGTTCTGGCAGCTTCGCCCGCGGAGGCCAGCGGGGCCGTCGGCTCCGCAGCGCAAGCGCGCGATCGCCCTGCCGAGACTCTGGGAGGAGGAGACGCATGTCTCCGCGAGGCTTCCAAAAGCACCTACCTTTCGAGGGCGGGGCCTCCGCTGAGTTCGCCCGGCCCGATGATTCGGGAAACCAGCTTCTGGGAAGGCCAACTCGACCGCGCCCGATTTTCGCGCGGCAGCGCCACTAAGGCCGCGAGAGCCCATGCCGACATGCGCATGAGCGACCGAGGATGTATTTGACAGCGCCCCATTGCAGCCCCCCCGTCCCCCCTTGAAGACGTCAAAACGGCTGATCTCAAGCTGGCCAGGGCGACTGGCGGGAGGGGCCCCCAGTCGGGCCTCTCCGCGAAGCTCGGGTCGCCCGCAGCGACGCGCGGCCCAGGTGGGCCCCCGCGCCGCGTCAGCCTGATCCGTCAATTCGAACGGCTGGCCTCGTCGGAATCAGGTTCGAAGAAGCTGGTTTTCCGAGTCGAGAGACCTGAGTTCGGGCGAGCGGCGCAGGGGACCTACAAGTTCTTGCGTGTGGGGAGCGAAGAAAGCAGCGCACTTTGGGGCCGCTGTTGCTTTGCATCCTCTTCAATTTTTCGGCGCGGGGACTGCGCCGGCGGCTCGCTGCGCAGTGAAACCCGCGCGCGCGAAGCGTTTGGCGCGATCCGGCCGATGGGGCGACGTCAGACCCCGAGGGGTTGCGCGGCGACGCCCGGGCCGCGTGCGCGAGGCCGCTGGGGCCCGCCAAACAGTTGGCGCATGTTCTGCGTTTCTTTCATTTCGCACATTGCAGCATTGAACCCCATCCAGGGGCACTTTCGAGCCACTGTTTGGCTCGAGCCACTCCGTGTCGAGCCTGACCAACCTGGGGCATCCTGGCGCTAGCGAGGGTTAACAGAGGCTGTTCGGAGCAATGGGCGAGGGCGTCGGCGACGCGCTCGACCCTGGCAAGATCATGGTCGCGACGCGTGCTGCTGCTGCGAAGACTTGATCTTCGGGGATGGGTGCGTGGGGTGCGTGGCGAGCGAGACTTTGTGCTGCCTGGGCGTCGAGTGCTGTTGATGCAGGGCGCGCCGACGCTCTGCTGCGCCTGCTGCGTGGCCCGCTGCGCCTCGCCCACTGCGCGCGTCAAGTCGCAGCGCCAGATGCGCTGCCTTGCAGGGGCGACCGCCATCCCGCGCGACGAGGAGGCCCCTTGCATGGTTTGCACGTGCGGCATCATTTGCTACCCCGCGATCGCCACCTGCAAGACGCTGGGCGACATCAAGGGTGGCGTTTGCGGGGGCGGACCCGAGGCTGGGCAGGCGGGCTGAGGCCAGCGAGATGGATCCGCGCAACCGCTCTGCCTGCTGCTGGCACCAGCGTGGCCAATGCGGCGCGACAGCCCAGGCCACGAATGGCTCCGTTCCTTTGATGCGCAAAAGCGAGCTAGGCTGCCGTCGCGCACTGAACTGCGCAGCATGCTTCGCGCGAGGAAGGGGAAACAACGCGGCGCTTTAGGGGCGCTTGAAGGACGCTCGCGCTGCATCCTTTGGCCGCCCGCCGGCGTCGCGCATCAAAATGTCCGCCCGGGAGGCGGCCGCGCCGGGAGTTGCGCCGCGAGCGTGGGGTTTGAGGGGGGGTCTCGTCTGACGTGGAACATTCAAATCGAGCAGCGCATCGTCTGTGGGAAGGGCTTTCGCATCAAATTGCTTCGCTCGGGAACAGCCCCCCCCCCCCCCCCCCCCGCATTCGCGTGACGAAACAAAACAAGTCATACCGCCCAGACAAGTGCCCGCCCATTCCAGCCTGCTGTCGCGGCCGATGCAGCACTCCACCGCGAGCAGCGCCGTTGCCACTTTGACTCGCCTCCTGCCCTGGTTGCCGCCGTCTACCTCGGGACTCGGGATGTAGCTGTAAAGGGCCGCGCCCACTGATTTCAGGTGTCGGGTCTATATAGCCCCCCTATCTTGGCTGCCTCAACTCTGCCTTGGACATCTGGCCACTGCCTAGCACTACCTGGCTTCGCCACCCTTGGAACTTTGCTCGGCCGGCACGGCGTCCCACGCTAAAGAGTCGCATCCACCTCCGCAATGTTGATGCCGATTGGTGTGCGGGGCGCAATGTCGATGTCTTCGCGCACTTCGCTGTTTGTGTTCTGCTGGCCGACTGAGAACTCATTACCATATAGCCGACGATCGTGCCAGGCAACGCAACTCCTCGAATCGCAGACGGCCATGACAGATTATGCCCTGGCTCCATTTGAAAAGCAGCTGCGGATGGACATTCGTGTCCGAGCTCCTGTGCACGCGTGCATTATGCATGTGCGCTTGACAGACGGGCCACCCTAGTAGGGCCCCAAATTCCTTCGACCCTTGGGCGCGCAAATACCAGCTCCCACCACGACCCCACATTTTCACAGCCGCGCGGACATGAGAAGTCACTGCGCGCGTTGGAAGTATGACGCCATCCAATATCATCGGCGGCCCCGTGATTTGGTCCGGCATGGGGCCAGCGCTTGGGCGCTGCGACTCCACGCCCTTCCGCGTCAGGCGTTTCCGCTCATATTCCATGTCATCTTGCAGATGACGCGCTAACCTGGAAGTCTGGAAGCTGGGCGCACAACTGATTCTCTTGAACGCACCGCACCATAGGCGCACTCACTACAGACGACATGTTCGACTCGATCAGATCTGCAAGTGGCTTTTTGCGACGCGGCATTTGCGGTCGCGATTTCCGCCGCCGTCACTAAGCGAACGATACAAGTCATTATGGCCAAACATCGCAGCCTCCCGGCGCGAACTTCCCGAGCTGCCCCCTTGCCCACTTCGCTTCCCCGCGGGGCTGCCCCTCTGCATCGGGAACTCCGATGCTGGCTGACCCGGGGTTTCATTTGAGCACGTCTGGGTCGTCCGCGCACTGGCGGATCCAGCCTCGCCCCACTGCGGCGCCCGCGCTGGCGGCTGCAGGCTGCCCTGGGGCCGCCCGCCGCAGGGGCCGCTCCAGGACCACCTGCCGCTGGGGCCCCGCAGTTCGAGGCAGCCCCTGGGCCGCCTGCTCGTGGAACTCCCCCTGGCGGCGCCTCGACGGCGCGTCTGGCTTCCCCTGCCAGCGCCCTCTCCTCGACCGCGCGCGCCTCCGCGAGCACCTCGCGCACGTTTTCCACCGAGCCTTCCGAGGCCCCGAAGCTGCAGCAATGCGCCCGCGCGCTCGACTGACAGGCTCGCGGCCGCGCCGAGCACCTGCTGCAGCGACAGGCTTGGCGCGCTTTCCTGCTGGTGGCACAGGCGCCTCCGCCACCAGTTCGCGCCTGGACTTCTCCAGCTCGAGCATCTCATCCCTGGCATCGCCCAGCACGCGTTGCGCCTCCACCCTCTCCTGGACGGCCATGTCGTCGGCCCCCCAGCGATACGCCTTCTTCCCAAGTTTGGCGCACAGGACAACATGTCCTTGAGCCTCGTGTCGAACAGTTTGGACGCCGCCACCTTCACTCGCAACGTGCTCTGGCACTCCCTGAGGTTCGCGCGCGCCTCCTGCGCCTCTGCCGCGCGTATATCCTCGATGGCCTTGATGTTGGCGGAGATGCCTGCCAGCTGCTCCGCGATGTCGCCCGCGCCGCCGTGGCCCGCGTCGCCATCGTCCACCTCCACCTTCAGGCCTGGAGCTGGCTCTGGTAACTTGAGCCTTGAGCTGCGCCAGCTCCTGCTTGACTCCCTTGAGCCCCTGCGCCGCCTTGGGACTGTTCGTTTCACCCCATGCAGCTCGCTGTGATGGCAGTTCAGGACTTCTGGTGGCAACGAGTGCCGTATTTTTATGTTGTGACAGCAGCTGCACCGCAAGAGGCCGGATCTGTTCCACCACCGATCTCCCGAATTCGATTCGACCAGCAGTCCACGGTGCAGCCCACGCCCTGCGCTTAGCCCGGTGACCTGACATCACCAGGCCTCCACTTGCATTCCCTTCTCGCGCCATCTGGCGCGGCCTTGCGGTTGCGCCAACGTGGTCCGTGGTGCCACGGCTCGAGGAGGGAGGGCGGACTGGTACCGCTGAGCAGTAAGCGAAGGGGAGATGCGCCCCCAGCCTGGGCAGGCTGCCGATGGAACGCTAGCTGTCGGGGCCCGCGCGTCCCCCACGCCGCAATGTCAAGCCCCGGGCGAAACGTTCTGGACTTGAGCCGAAGCCGCGACGGACCGGAAACGGAGTCTGCTCGCCCTCGCGCGGCGCCCGTGTCGCGCGCGGGCCCCCCGTCCCACGGGGCCGACTGCAGCCCCCCCGGGGCTTTGCCAGGGACTCCGCGCCAGGGTGGGGGGAAGGTGCAGGGAGGCGGGGGGGAGGGGGGGGGAGATCCTCGAGGGCGGGGGGGATACAGAGCCGCTGGGCGAACCCCTTGCCCCACCCACATTTCCCCCCCCCCCCCCCCTCACTCCCCTCTCGTCGTGCCCTCTTCCCTCTCCTCTCCCCCTCGCCTTGCCCTACGCTGCCCATCCCTCTCTTTCCGTCCTACCCCTAATTACCCGTCCCCCGTCACTTCCCCTCCCCCTCTCTCCTCTCCCTCCCGCCTCCGCTGTCCCCCCCCCCCCCCTCACCTCGTCCCCCGCCCCCGCCCACTCCCATACCCTTGCGGGCACGGCAACCCCCACGCAACACAAACCACACCTCCCGCTCCAGACCCCTTCTTCCTCGCTTCCCGTCTCCTCCGCTCCAATCCTCCCCTCTCCCCTCCGACCTCCTCTCTCCTCCTCCTCGCCTCCACCTACCCCGCGTACCTTCCGCCGAGTCCCGCTGCGACGTCTGGTTCGTGTACTGGCCGCACTGGCAGGATCAAGGCGTGGCGATCGTGCCCACCATGGCCCGGGGCCCAACCGGCAGACGACAGCGGTCGGCGCACCCAAAGCACTTCGGAAATCTCTTCGTCGTCGTCGTGCGATCCTTGGATCGCCCACCGGACAGAGAGAGAGAGAGAGAGAGCGGACGTAGTTTTGCGTCCCGGCCCGATCGGTTGCTTGGGCTCGCACTGTCCTCGCCTCCTGTCTCTCCGTCTCCTGCCTGCTTCTCCATCCTGCATCCTCCTCCTCCTCCTCACTCCTTTCTCGGGCTACCTCCTCCCTCCTCAGGCCCTTTTTACCTATCCCTCGGGTCCCCTACTCGTCTTTCCTCATCCCTCCTCCTGGTCCTTGGGGTGCTCGCTTCTTCGGCTATACATCACCGTGGAGCCATATCGTGTGAACGTCCCAGCTGTTTGGGACTGCTCCATCGGTCAATTCAGTCGCGCAGCCACGCATCGCCAGGGAGAGATACGGATACGATTGTCCGCCGCCGATGTAGGGAGACTTGAGCTACTGCTCCGAGGAAGACCGCTGCACTTGGGCACCTGCGTGTGGCACGGGTGGCGGTCAGTTCTCGGAGGAAGGAGGAGGCCATGCCCAGACAGCCAGAGACAGTCTGTCCGCAGGGAGCGAGCTTGCCGCCACAAGCCGCCATTCCGGAGCAGATCGACTGGGGCCCCTTCGGTGGCGCGAAATGTCGGGAGGGGAGATAGAGAGCGAGATAGAGTGAGAGACACAGAGAGAGAGAGAGAGGCGGGAGTTGAGCGTGGACGGAGGCAGGCGAGCTGAGAGGGGGATGCAGTGCCGGAGGTTGGAGTTGGGTGGAAAAGTTAAAGGAGGATCCCGAGCTGTCGGTTGGAAGTGGGAAGGAGAGGTTCCTCTTAGAGGGCGGAGGTACTTTTCAGAACCCCTCCCACATTCTGGGAAGTCTTCTGTGTCTGCGGGGAGGGGTCGTGTGGAGATCGGACAGGAGGGGAGTGCCACAGGGGGGTTCGGATTGGGGGGCGGTTAGGGGTTGCGCGCCTCGGGGGCCCACACCGGCTACCCTGGACCGCAGCTATCCCTGATCATTTGGGCGTCCAAACCTCCCGAATCATGAGGGGTATCTCTACGGGTTCGCGCCCCGGGGGCCCAAACCGGAGCCACCCCCGACCGCAGTCATCCCGGCTCGTTCGAGCGCCCGAGACTTGGGCGGAAAAAGCAGGGGTCGTGCGGGGATTGGTCGGGCCGCCGGACGACAGGGGGGGGGATTAGGGAAGGGGGGTCACGAGATCTGCTGCATGCAGCTGGTTTCGGCCCCACCGATGGGGGCCCATCCCTCGAGACGTGGCCGCCTCCGGCGCGGGGAGGCGCCGGGAAAATAATCACCTGCGTGAGCGGAGTCTCAACCCCTCCCCCGTTGTGCTATCCCCCCCTCTTTTCGCCCGGCCCGAGCTTGGAGGAAAAGGGGAGGGGAGGGCCACGGGGGGCACCGGAGGCCAGGGGCCCCCCGGCGCGCCCGTGCAGAGCCGAGGACACGTGGCTGAAGCGGTCCCGCCCCGCCGGGGGTTGCCGCCTGCCGCCCCGACCTCCCCCCGCGCTCCGAGGGCTTCCGGCTCCGTCCGTCGGGCGCCATTCTCCCTCCCTCCCTCCCTCCCTCCTCCTCCTCCTCCTCCTCCCTCCTCCTCTCCTCTCTCCTCCCCTCCTCCTCCTCCTCCTCCTCCTCCTCTCCTCCTCCTCCTCCTCCTCCTCCTCCCCTCCTCCTCCTCCTCCCCTCCTCCTCCCTCCTCCTCTCCTCCTCCCCTCTCCTCCTCCTCCTCCTCCTCCTCCTCCTCCTCCTCCTCCTCCTCCTCCTCCTCCTCCTCCTCCGCCTCCGTTCGCCCGCTCCGCCCCTCTGTCTCGGAGTAAGTCGGGCGCGTCCCTCTATACCGGGGGATTTTCGCCGAAGCATAAAAAGAATGCCCCCAAACATATGCAACACATAGTCCAGAAGTAATATGGGGACAATGTTCTGAATGTTTGTTTGCCGTTTTGGGGGTATTGTTGGGGTATTGTTTATTATTTTTCGTCGAAAATTCCCGTGTAGGGGGACACGCCCGACATAAGCGTGTCCCCGTTCGCCCGCTCCGCCCCTCTGTCTCGGAAGCTGGAACATATACATTGACCAGTGGCGGGCTGATTTTCAAGCCCAGGACTTCTCTTCGAGGATCGGGGGCGACGTTGGGGTGGTGTGGTGTATGCTTTTGGTCCCCGCTTCCCCAGGAGAAGAGCGAGACATGTATACACCAGGGTTCCGTATACACCAGGATCCGCTTTCCTGGCTGCAGATTTCAGTGCAGGGCCGGAACAAGCGTCGGTGTATAGAGTTCGGTTCCCTACGTTCCTCTTCCCCTCCATCAGTCCCCCCCTGGTCGCCTTCCTCCGTATCTTTTCGTGTTACTGAGTAGTAGACATACACACATTGGTGCATAACCTCATGCCCGTGAGAATAAACACTAGGGGATAATAAAGTTCGGGGTTCAGGGAGAGATAATAAAAGTAGCCCAGCAGACCTCAGCATAATCTCGAAGTAAGAGATGATCAAGATGGAATGGAGGAAGCTATATATAAACAAGAAAAATAAAACGAATAAATAATAAAATAAAAGAAATGATAGGAGGAGGAGAAGGAGGGAAAGAAGAACAAATCTCGAGTTTCAAATCTATTAGATTTTATTTACAAACGCTTTATGAACATTGTTTTTTGTAAGTGCTCGTGTAGGGTAGCTCATGTGCCTCAATTTCCATGGATAATCAACCCCAGAGATAAAAAAGTTCAGGCGAGCGTGGGGACAGAGAGAAATATAAAAGAAGAATAATCCAGTAGAAGAATAATAAGAAAGAAGAAGAAGAGGAGAATAAGAAGAGGACGATGAAAAATATCCAAAGTTCCAAATCTATCAATTTTAATTTACAAACGCTTTATGACAATTGATTTTTAAGTGCTCGTGTAGGGTAGCTCATGTGCTTCATTTTCCATGGATAATCAACCCCAGGGATAAAACAGTTCAGGCGAGCGTGAGGACAGCTGAAAAAGTGTGATCGTTTCGCTTGATGTTGCTATATCAACATCGCTTGATGTTGCTATCTCAACATAGCGTTTCGAGGTGATAATGAAGTTCGGCCTCAGCGCTCGCCGCCCAATTTGAATTTTGTATAGGGCGACGATAATCAACTCTAAACACTGAAGGGGGGGGTCCCTTTATTATCATCGGCATGCGGTTATCTGTCTAGATACGTAGTTCTTGTTGCGATTATGTCCCTCCTCATTCCGTTTGCAAGGCACTCTCGTGGACTTGATTGTCATCCTGATAAAAAAAGGCTTACGCCACATCCGCCGATCCCTTGAACGAGGCCAGTGTTGTTTTATATGGGGAGGGGATAGTTGGTCACAGTTGGAGATCCTCATTTGTCCAGGATGTTCTTCGAGCGCTGGGGACGGAAAGGAGCCAATGCAAGGGGAGGTTGGAGGAAGAGGAGTAGGAGGAAGATTCTGGACAGCCCAATAAGACACCAGAAACCCACAAGAACACCCGCAAGAAGCCCCAAACAATTGCCCTGACATGCGTAGTGGCCGTCGCCTCCGAGCCCTCCGAGGCCACCGCGCTCGCTCAGACCAGCGAACCCTGATTACGAAGAAGTTTGAGCACATATGATTGCGTCTCTCATGGCTTCGCCTTTCCCGCCGGCCCCCTTGCCGACTTGAGGATCCAATGGGAGATCCGCGCGCGGTTTGTCAGGAACTGGGACGGGAAAAGCTTGACCGCCAAACCTGTAAGTTTTGACATTCGGCTTGTTGATCACATGCGTTGCTCCTGGGCCCTGGGTGATATCAAGGCAGGGGAAAACGAAGGAAGCGATGTGACCTTTTCTGGTCTGTTTCCTCCACTTCAAGAAGCTTCATTTACGCGGTGAACATTCGCACCCCGCGGCTGCCGCGGACCCATCGCGAACGCTTTTCTGCAAAATGCAATGCCCGAAGCTGCTCAAATGCAGGCGACCTCGTTAAGTACCGGGCTCGAAGTTTCTGGATCGCACCAAAACGCCCTCGAGCGAAACGTGGCTTTGGCGCACTCCAAGGACGGAGCCGCCAGGGGATGCATCGCGGGCCCGTTCGTGGTCAGATCTTGGTTCACTCTCAAGCAAGATGTTGTTATTGCGCCCTAGATTTCCATCGTCAAAGCAGGCTGTGGCTCACTCTCAGACGAAGCGCTGCTTTGGCGCGCTCTTAGCGGCAGCCGCCAGGAGGTATATCGCGGGCCCGTTCGCAGTCAGACTGCGGCGCGCTCTCAAGCGAAATGCTTTCGCGGCGTCCCCGAGTTCTCTTCTGCAAGAGCAGATTGCGATTCGCTCGCGGGCGAAACTGCCTTGGCGCACATCAAGGCGCAGGCGGCCAGGCTGCAGTTCATTCTCAAGCGAAGCGCTGCGTCGGCGCACTCCCAGGGGCAGCCGCCAGGGGGTACATCACGGGCCCGTTTGCGGTCATATTGTGGCGCATTCTGAAGCGAGAAAGTGCTCCTGTACCTCCAAGTTTTTTCTTGCCAAAGCAGATTAGAGTGTTTAGCTCACTCGCCAGCGACGCGCTGTTTCGTCGCGCTCCAAAGCGGGAGCCGCCAGGGTGGCCGCGGGCCCGTTCGCGGTCAGATTGCGGCTCCTTCTCAAGCGAAGCGCTTGTTCGGAGCAGTGGTCCTCGCCAGAACAGATTGCGGTTCGCTCTCAAACGAACTGGCGTTTTGGTGCGCCAGAGCTCTTTCTTATCGTAGCAAATTGTGCTTCTTTCTCAAGCCGCGCGCCGCGAGGCCGATTCCCCTGTGCTCAGACGCTTGGCAGCGAGAGGCGTCAGAAAATGAGATTGACACGCGGGGAGGTCGCGCTTGATAACGTTGAATGAGTTCGCGCTCACCACTGCCTACGCTTGCCCACTATGGCCCACCATTGTCCGCTGCTGCTTGCCCGACCAGCGTCGGAGGTGATCGGGCGCGCGTTTCTTCAACAGTGCCATCGTGCTTCCTAGAACGTTGACAGGCATCACGAGGCGCGTGCTGACATCGGCGCGAATGCGAGTGCATTATGTAATGCTGATGATGGCAGTGAGGATGACGATGGCGACGACGACGACGTTCAATTCGGATATGTTGGCGCTCATGGTGACGACTATGGGGGCGATGATGTGTGCGATTGTGGCGCGACAATTTTCGCGAGCACCGCGGTGCATGTTGTATCGGGGTGCACGTTGCTGATAATGGCGCTTGCGGCTGACATGGATGTCGCGATGCCGGGGCGGATGTTGATTATGGGACGAGGGTGGCAATGTTTCTGTCTATGGCGATCGTGTGGAGATCAAGCAACGTGGGAGCGATTGCGATTGCGACGGCGATGGTGAGTGGGGCGGCCATATATCGGGACGTTGTGATCGGAAGCGCGCGATGCTGGTGCGGTGTCGGGGTGTTGACGATGATGCTTATAATGGCGGCGATGGGGATGCTGCTGCTAGCGCACGCGATTGTAGTTGTCGTTTTTGTGTTGCTTTCGAAGGGGGGGTCGCGGTGATGGTGATTATGGTGGCGTTGCGGGCCTTGGTGGTGTTCGCGCTGTTGACAGTGCTTGGGGCAACGCTGAAGATGCCGACGATGACGACTGCGACGGTGGTGACATTCACCAGCACATCGAAAAGGACGAGTATAGCGGCGATGACGCGGGTGGTCGTGGTGATGATTGTGTAAAAGATGGAGGCCATTGTGCTAGTGCTGGAACTCTCATGCTGACGTTGGTTTTCACGATGGTCGACGGCGATGCCTGCGACTATTGGAGCTCTCTTGGGGCTCGTTTGGCCCGTATTGTACGCCTTTGGGGCCGTCGTAGGGCTATGTTGGGCCGTCTTGGCGCGCTTTTCGGGGCGTCCTTGGCAGTCTGGGAGCAATTCTTGGGGCTTCCTGGGCTGTTTTGGGCGGTGGGTGGCCAAAAGAGGCGATGAAGCACAACGCTTCGAAACACTTCAGGAACGTGATTGCTCTTAAGGCCCTCATCGGGAGCGTCTTTGAGCGGTGTGGGGCGGTGTTGCGGCCTCTGGTGGGCTTCCTGTGGGGCGTCTTGGGGACGATCTTGGAAGGGAATGCTCGCTTTGCCAGTTCGTGTCCCAGTTCCTGGGTCGTTCTTGGAGCTTTCTTGGGGCCTTCTCGGGCTGTTTTGGCGCGTTCCGGGGCTTTCTGGGCCGTGTGGTAACGGTCTTCGAGGCCTCTTGGGCTGTCCTTGAGTAGTGGGCAGCTAGAGAAGGCGATGAAGAAACACAAATTTGGCACACATTCGGAAAAAAAGAGAAGTACAATCTGCGATGCTACGCACAACGCTGCTCCAATATTCCCCCAAAAAGATTTCACGGGTGCACGAACTGGGGGCCATTTGATATGGGAGTTCCTATTTGACAATGGGCCCAATTGTCAAATTGCACCCCCGGGCCCCTGGTTGACAGCGGGCCGCACTGTCAAAGAGGTCGGGGCCCCTTGGGGGCAGGGTGCCCTTTGACACTGGGCCCGCGGTCAAATGGCCTCGCAGGCGCCCGTGGGCCCCATTGACAGCGCGCCGCGCTGTCAAAGTCGGTGACGCGCTTCCCGTTCACGCGCGTTGACAGCGGCGACCGTTGTCACATGGCCTCTCATGTAGCTTGGCCCGCGGGCCCGCGGGCACCATGACAGAGCGCCGCACTGGCAAAATCGGCGACGCGCTTCCCGTTCATGCGCGTTGGCAGTAGCGCCCACTGACGGGGAGAACAGTTGGGCCCGGCGTGGGGGATAAAGGGGGGGAAGAATCTCACGCGCCCAGAAGCCCCAAGGGGCCGGCGGATTTACGACTGACTTTGCGAAGCAGCCGCATCTAAATTGATCACGCGTTCTGCACTTCTGTTGGACATAGGATGCACCATGTCTATCTGTGTGAATCGGTTGCTCAAGGTTGGAACAGGTCGGGTTGGGTGGAGTCGGCGCCGGGCGGCGCCACTGTCGCCGCCCCTGGCGCGAATCCACCGCCCCCGGGGGGCCAGCTCCGATCCCAAAGATCTGCGCGCGGACCTCCAATATGTACATTACGTTCAGGCGTTTGTGTGTTTCACCACGAAGGGGAATCTGATCTTCACCAGTCGGGACTCGCTTAGATGCTTTTCCCCCACGCCTTAGCGTTGTTTGCATTGTCCGCGGACGGGGGGGGGGGTCGGGTGCCATTCGAGTAAACGGATTTGCAGTGGGACCAAAATCGGCGCCGACGCGGAACATTGGCGTTTGCCTCTCCCTCCTCGCCTGCCCGGCCCCCTCCTCCTTTCTTGCTCCTCCCCACCCAGGGGCAACGATTGGTGGGGATGGGCATATCGGAGGATGCATCGACCCCAATCGCCAACTGATCGCC